TGAGGGACCGCCAAATGACAATCGATCACTTGTTCCGGAGGCAGCGGGGAGAGCACTTGTTTTGGAGGCAGCGGGGAGAATACTTGTTTAGGAGGCAGCGGGGAGAGCACTTGTTACTTTGATTCGGAGCCGAGGCTATCCGTGCCTGGTCGCCTCGAACGCTACCATCGCAGCCCGACTCGCGTGACGGAAGCCGAACTATGGGACGCGACACCACATGTGAGTGCCTGACCGCAAGAGCAAAGTGAGTACGAGCCGGGGCGTGAAAGACACGACCACTAAGCGACCCGCCATCGCCCCTGCCCGCGCTGAGCGACGCCGAGGCGCCGTCCGGTCGACGAACGCCGCTGGCCTGATCCGGTGACTGGGGGGCCGCCGAGCGGTCACCACAAAGGAACCTGGGGCAAGCACCGACCGTGGCTGCCCGCCGCCGGGCGCTGGGATGCCCGAACGCCGCCCCTGTAAGCTGGTTCACGATCGCCTGGGAGGGCGAAAACCACGGAGCTAAGATGAACTGTGGCCATGCCGCCTTTTTAAGTTAAGATTAGTCGTAAGTTAATTGTAAGTTTTGTTCTGACATTGTGCTTCACCCGCGTAGAATCCAATATTGATTAAAGTAATATTAAGAAAATGCCTCAGTCTTTCTATCCAGTAGTTAGGCAATCACGCATGCTTCTCTCTAGGGAGTCTGCCGACGAAGCAGCCGGGCAAAGCTGAATCGCCGAAGGAAATCAGGTTGTTGGGTGAGTGGGTGATTACAACATATATACTTTGGCAGTACTTGTCAGTAGTTTATAATTTTTTGGCTTTTGTTTTTGTTTGTGTAATGTTAATTAATTAATGAATCAATTTAAAAATAGACATCTTTTGAAAGTACGGTGTAACTGCCAGCATTTTCCGTTGCGCCTGCGTATGTTATCATTTATATAGTAATCATTTTAGCGCGGGTACTTAAAGAGGAGCAAGGAGAGTGAAAATGGGGAGTGAGGAGTAGTTTTAAAACATTACAGATGATTATAAGGTAAAGTGGCATTGTATCGTAAAGTAGAAGAGATGATTTAAAGGTAAGTCGATATTTGATCGATTCTAACCCTGTTCTCTAAGCAAACCTCGTCTAAAACGCTAAACGTTTTTGTTTATGAATGTATTTATAATCAATTTGCTTTATTGGGTAATTTTAACAATTAATATTTAATGTGTGATTGGGTGGAAAATCCTTGAAGTTTCCTAGAAAAGTTTCAATTTTTTCTTATATGGGCGGTATTTAGAGCCATTTAACGGGACGGATGTTTGTACGAAGCATCTGGCATCCTCCCGTGCCAGCTTGGGATCTGCAGTCGCTGTTTTCATGTGTGTTCACGTCGCCCTGATGCTCTCATTTTCATCCATGGCCTCTAAACGTGGGTCCGTGCTGTACTGCACTGTGGTGTAAGGCTCATTACTACGTATTGCGCACAATATGCTTCCAAAAAAATAGCGGACAAACGGGGGAGTGGGTGGGATAAAGTACTAAAGAATATTAAAAAATACAAATTAATTTTTTTCCAAATATTTTAAACGTATTAAAGATTAGCAATTTAAAACCTTTACTTGGAAAATTTCAATAAGTCAACTATTTACTAATATGTAAAATATTAAATTACAATTTTTACTTTAAGAAGATTGATACCAATTACATTTAAATTTTGTGTTGATATCTTCAAGGAAAATCTTTGGTTTGACAAATTCGCGCGCAGCTCTGACATATTTGATGAAAAACACGTGATTTCGAGATTTCTTAAATCTTCAGGCCAGATCGCAAGACAATTATCATTTTTAGCAGCAGGAAAGGGATGTCGAATAACCTTCATACGTCTCGGATTGGTGCACGGAAGTTGTCTAGCGGAGTGACGGAACCGCACACATCGTACTATCGGCATACGCACACTCAACACAATTTACTATTATCTAGACTGGCGTAACTTCATGCAATAACATGTTTTTTCACCGATATCGATTCGAAAGGAATACCTATTCAACATCTAGAAATGTTATGAGTGTTATTATTGCTGATGCCAAAAGTTACAAATTGAGGTGGAGCGTAGCGGAGCCGAGATTTTTAATTAGGACGAGGCTGTAATAACACTAACATTTTGTGATATGTTCAGCGTTTTATCGGCCACTATAAAATCTCAATTTTTTTTGAGAAAATTTACATTACTGTGATATAAAACACATGAATTATGTTGTTGCGGCACCATATTGTCGATATTGTTGAGCATTGCTTGCAATATATCCATTTCATGAATAGGCATCAGGCATGGACGTCGTCGGTAGGCCTTAGCCCGTTCACAGGCTGTCGCGCCAAGTACAAACATACTTATAAGAAGACCCCGAAAACGCAGTCAGTTCGAGCGTGCTATTATATTTGTCGCGAAATTATGCAAAAATGCTAATAATTTCAAAAAATTAATATGACCATATTTAAGGATCTGCTTTTTATGAACACATATCTTTAAGAAAAGAAAATGTGTCTTCACAATTGTAGTTATAGGAAGTCGCCGAAGATTTTTTTTTAAATCTTCGCGGAATTACGCACTTCAATGAACATGAGACATAAATCATTCTCTTAAGCGTCGTTTATGCAATATAAGGTCCAAATCTAATAAACATGTTTGTGTGGTTTTTAAGAAAAAGTAGTTTTAAGAAAATAAAAATGGCCTATGTTTGGCACAAAATTTCGCAAAAAATACTCATGTTTTTGAATAATTGAACTTGACCTTATTTAAAGAATTGTTATGGATGAATCCATTTCACAAAGAAATAAAATTGTATCGTTATAATTGTAGTTGTAGAAAGACGTGAAAAAATTTGAATTGTTTCAATTTTTGAAAACTTAGGGCTTTCAACCAACATTAGACCTACGTCATTATCTTAAACGTCCTTCAGACAATTCCCCAACAAAATATTAAAAACGATGAAGCCGTTTTTAAGAAAAATTGTTTAAACAAAAATTAAAAATTGCCTATATTTCACGTAAAATACCGCGAAAAATATTCAAACTTTGAGTTGTACATGACCTTGTTTCAAAATCTATATATAAGGAACAGACATTGTATTACGGAAAAATCTTTATATTTAATATTTTAGTTGTAGAAGACGCCGAAAAAAATGAAAAATTGAATTTTTTCAATTTTTCGAAAAATTAGATTTTTCAACCCGCATGAGACCTGCGCCATTCTCTTAAACGTTCTTCAGACAATCCATCAACAAAATGTTATCAAAATCGTTGGCACCATTGTGTGAAAATATCCCAGGGGGTTCATGTGAAAAACCCTCAAAAATTAAAATATCGATTCCAAATTTAAGGGGCCACGACATTGGTCAGATTGTTCGGGGAATATAAATTTTGGAAAAAATCGGCAGAACAGTTTAGCCGCTAGCGTTCTTCACAGACGGACGGACATACAGGATGTATTTATAAATATAGCACCTAGATTTATCCACTTCTTCGTTACCAGAGTCCTGTAATAAGAGTTGTCTGGCGAGAATTTGCAGTTTTTTCGCACAGTATTCCTTGTTAAGCTCTAATTACTAACCTATTCTACCTACTTTAAGAGAATGAAATTTTAATTATTTCAATCTAACAACTAATCTAATATTCAACACCAGAATTGCGATTCCCTATTTCCCTAATAAATATCAAATGTCATTTAATGTTTGCGCACACATTTGAACGATTTAAAAAAAGAACTTGACTTAGCCATATATCTCACAGCTATTGTCTTGAATGCTCGAAGTCGTGACATTGTCCTTGATATTTTTCGTATTAACTCCACTACAATTCTCTTATTAATTGTATATTAAACCATCTTCCCTCCGAAAGTTGCTATATTACGCATCCACAACGCTGTCCGCACACACGCATCCTCTCTGGTGCTCTCCGCATATACGTGCACCCTCCCGAGTTCGGAGCTTTCCATCTTTGATGCGCAAAGCGAGCAAGCCACTTTCTCAATAGTCGTTTAATTTGCCCCTCTGAGCAGTATATTGACGGCATGGAACCCTTCAGATATCCAGTTACGTATGTTGGACATTTAAAAAAAATATTTTTAAAATTTTATTTCTTCTTGATTTGCATTTCTGTCTTTCAGGGATGTTGTCATAAGATTTTTATAACATTATAGGATGAACCGTCCTCAGGTCTGTGTCAATACATTTCCGATACATGCTTGACGTCTGTGTTTCCTTCTTCTACGCGTTCTCGGCCAACTTTTCATTTGTTTCCGGTCGCCCCGTAACGAATTTCTATCATGGCCATGTAAACTTTTCATGATTTCACACATTTTATTGAATAAATTTCTTTTGTTCACTATCACACGTTATGATCTGTCACAACAGCGAGAGAAGAGCATCACTTAAACACTGACTATTTCAAAATCCAGTGAATCGAGTACTTCATGAATTTTATTCAAAACTAACATGAAATTAGTAGTTTTGTTTCCTTATTTATAAAGAAATTTGAATGGAGATTGAAAATCAAAACAGAGCAAAAGGCGAACACAGTTGGCTTGGAATCGTACAACTTAATAACAGAGTGTAGTTGTAGGAATCGTTGAAGGTATACTGTAGTTGTGTCGAGGATGAAGGAATTAATAAAATGGAATGAGGAGGCCAAATGTTACCACCACACGTGATTCAAATCCAAGCGGCACGACTGGCTATAAATCATTATAGATCGTACATATGTCACAATTCTCATATGCCCGTTATTCCCCAGCTTCGCCACAGCATGTGTCCATGCCTTTCCCCCTTCCCCTTCGCCACCTCTCCGCATAGGCGAGGCTGGCAGCCACCTGCCAGTTCCCCCTCCCGCCGTTAGAGCGCTCCGGCTGCGCCGCGTGCGGGCCGGGCGTACGGATGGCGCGGCGCTGCTGTCGTTCGTTTTACGGACGTTATCTGGCGCGAGGCCCTAAACCCTTTACGAGTCGCAGCGAGGGCGGACGTCGGCGCGCGTTTACCTGCGACGGGCGCCGCCCCCCTTTTGGCAGCAGCACTGCCTAATTGCTCCAGCCGCGCGAGTCGTAAACGATGCCGCTCCTGGCGCTCCTGATGGCAGACGCCGTAAACTACGCGTCGAGACGCGGGCCCCGCAATTGAGCGGGCTGTAGCGCCACCAAAGATCCCTTTACAGAATTTTCCGTGTTCGGTTTAATGATTTTTACGCCAACTCTCGTAAGCCTTTATACAGTAAACTTTGCTTTGAAACTGTAATAAATCTCGATTTGGTATTTCAATGTGTGTAACATATGTTGTTGAATGTGCATTGACTTTCTGTTTCTCTAGGGCATTTCGTCAGGTCGCGTTGCAAAGAATTAACGAACAAACATCTCTTGTGTCAGAATCTGTATGAGACGTAACCTTTTCGTCATCTTAGAGCATCCAGAAGAATAAAGCAATTGCTTCTTTTTCCAAATTGTAGCAAGAATTTGTTCTTTAAAATAACAGCTACATTCTTTTGTAGGTTGCCAATTCAACATTTTTATTCTTTCGCGCTGATACAAATTAGAAAATGGAATATCTTATGTGAAGAGTACATGAAGCTTACAAAAATGACTTTCGATAAAAATTGAGAAAATATGTATCCTACAATTTTAATGCCTACAATTTTTATTGCCATAAAGTGATTTTTTATTTATTAAAAATCATATGGCACTATCAATGGTAATGTAACAATAACAAAGTTGGAACAACGAACTCTTTCGGAAGAATTTTTAATTTCGCCAGATACGGAATACATTTTTTACTGGACGTTTATGGATTGATGTTACAAATAATATATTTTACTAATTGTTCACGATTTGTAAATAGCAACCTTGATTTCGAAATTTTCTTTCGTTTCACATTAAATTCATGAATTAATGTGATGACCGGAGGATGTGAAAAAGTTAGGATATTACCAAAAAAATACTGGTGTTAAACGACATGTACTTTATCCCTCGTATTTTCATGGAAAATTCTTTTGTTCCCGAAAAGTACTCAAATTTTCGAAAATATTGTACTTGATCTTATTTCAAAATCTATCTTTAAGGAACAAATTTCATTTAGGGAAAAATCTCTACCTTTAATATTTTAGTAGTAGGAAGACTTCGAAAAAAAATTTAATTTTTTCAATTTTCGAAAAATTAGAGTTTTTAACCCACATGGGACCTGCGTCATTCTCTTAAACGTTCTTCATACTACCCACCAACAAAATTTAACCAAAAAAGTTGGCCTCATTTTTATTGGCAAATGTCCCAGGGATTTCATGTTAAGTCCCCTCCCCCCAAAAAAATTAAAATATCAATTTCAAATGCAAAGGGCCATGACATCAACCAGATCGTTCGAGGAATATCAATTTTGGAGAAAATCGGCTGAACAGTTTAGCCGCTAGCGTTCTTCAGACGACTACAATGTCGTTTGCTTTAGATTTTAGATTTATTTAGTCAATAAACAGTAAAAACTGTATTTGACGTATGAAGGAGATCATCTTCTCACGTTTTTTAAAGTTTTGCCGTCAATCGTCTTTTCGGTATCTAGGATCCACATGACATGGATTCTGGCTACATCACGCGTTAGAGCATTTTTTTGTAAATTTAGCAACTGGATTTATCCACTTATTCGTTTCCAGGGCTTTGCAACAAAAGTTTTTCTGTCGAAAATTTGCATTTTTTTCGCGCAGCATTACATAACTTTCCTTCTCCGTAGGGAGAACCAAAAGGTAGTTCCAGTTTTACATCCCTTTGTCCATCCTTAATAGTCCTCTTTTGTATTTCAATACCTACTGCACTTCATCCACCATGCTTATCTTTAGTATGGGGTTGGAATAAAAAAGATTCATAAAAGATTTTAGCATCACTTGCAACTGAATTTTGACGTATCTTATCAGCCCCTCACAGTTATGGATTGGGGATTTAACTGTCGCTTAATTGTGTAGACCTTGACTTTCGACACACTCGCACTAAACCGAGTTGATTACTCTTGAATTTTCGGAGGGCGTCGTATCGAAGTGTTACAATGCGTTAAGTTATAACAATATCACATGTTATACAGGTCACGGGTAGAAGATAAAAGAAAACTATGGCAATTTTTCTTGTTTTTCTCGATCAAAAATGGTTGGGGGTAAAGTAGAGAAGATAATATAATTTAAAATATGTGGTAGTGTAATTTTCATTTGCAATTAAATTTAGATATCATTATAGAAATCCTCATATTTTATATTTATTTTTATTATAATATATAAATAGATTGGGTTTTATTGACTCGGGAGAACGATTAGGTCAAGAACGCGATTAGTTCTAGTATTAGAACAATGACTCGGCAGAAGTCGCGTTGACTTCTCGTCCCTTGCCATACACGCGCTGCATTATCCTTCGCGGGCAATCTAAAGCGAACATCATGTTTCATGTCTGTATGTGAGGTGCTTTTCAGTCCGATGAGTATACAGCCTCCTTACTTTCATGAGGTGAATTGTTGATTTTGGGGTCATAAAGACGGGGCAGATACGCTCAGCTGATTCGACGTTCTATCCCCTTCATTTATTCATTCCGATTTGGTGGCAATAACGAAAGCTGTTGGAATGTCAAAGGAAAACCTCTGCTGGTGTCAGCTCATGTCTCTCAAATGTTAAGCACAAATAAGTTTGGTAAAATGTGTAGTAGCAAAGATAGTGAATTTGCTTCTGCCAGAATCATCTTTATAAAGATGTGTGAGACAAAAAATTCAACAATGAAATTATGTTGAATTGTAAAGAAAGTTTCTGGAGAGGAAACCGTTAATAAATATATACAAGTTTTGCTAGGAATTTAAGTACGAGTCGTCTGTATATCAAGACGGACAATACGTAAAAATTGAACAAGTAAATTATTTTCATAAAATATCTCGAGTTCCCTTATTCCTATACTTGGTATTCATACTAATATTCCAGATAGTAATACAGAAAAAATTAAGAGCTCAGATAAGTTCCAGATTAATTACCATAATTAATTAGTTCAATTAAATGAAAAAATAAAAATGTGGAAAATATACAATTTTTACCTTTTCATTTTTTGACGATCATTTTAATAAATTGTCATCAGATTTCACAAAGCTAAGGTACACAATTTATTTATGAATAATTAGTTATCTTCCCTTTTCTTATCTTCCTTTGATTTTTCATTTTATTCCAACGTCCTTTCCGATTGCCATCTATCGGCCTCGAGGTATCTATCAGGTCCTGCCACAGTAATAGACTTTGTGCTCCCCGAACCTCACTCAAAAGTAGCCCTTCGGTCCACTTAGATCCTATACTACTACGTAAGTGTATGAGCCCGAGGCAGCCCGTGTTGGCACATTGACCGCCAAATTGATTCGAAATTGTGATCACGTTTCCAACATTGCAGTTTTGTTGCTTTTTGAAGGCAATTCAGAGGAAAGAATCCTACATTTCAAACTTCCCGCCTAGGAGAAAAAAAGCCGCGTGAATTTCTTCCCAGTTGACCAAATACTCACTTCTCTCGTACAGTTCCCTGACGTTGATTGTCAACTGCTTCCTGTTAGTTCGGAGCGTCACCAAAAGATCGCATCAGCTCCTGGGTAGCCGCGTGTGAAACATGTGAACTGGTTGTCAAAGTTCTTGGAATCCAGCGATTTCCATTTTAGTCGCCACGAGCTCGCATTGTCATTAGAGGAGACGTGCAGAACAGTTTGCCGACGTGCAGAATGCTCAGTAAAATGTGTTGGACGCATTCAAGGTTCGATTCGGGGCGTGGCAGGCAATTCCCAACACCTTTATGCAGCCTAACATGCAATAAAAACGACGAATATTTAACGACGAATTCGTAACAAAACGTGTGATTTCGTCTGGACGGAGGTAACCATGACATGATTGTCTTTCCCAAAGTAACAATCTTGCAATTGTGTGTCGTTTCTTTTCCAGAACACTTTTGTTTGAGGAAAAGTTATAGAAAATTATCGATGTTCCTCGCAGTTCCTGCTAATTGCTCTCCCAACGTATCTAACGAATATTTCGCATCTACAACAGCCCGTGTGCCTATCAAATAGCTGAACCGTATTTCTCAGTGTAAGGAGTCACTCCTAAGCCATGCACGCTGCAACAGATCACACACAGTAACCGGTCTTGCAACCAGGCATTACGGAAGAATTAAGGTGTAGAAGTGAACATGAGGTACTGGCTCAGATCCTCAATTGATGTCACTCCACTGCCTCTGATCAGGAGGTCCTAGGTTCGAGTCCCGACGGTGGCACTAATTGGTCAGCTAGGTCCTATACAATACTGCTCTAATCAGTAGTTTTCCGTGTTTTCTCCAATCAACACCAAATGAATACCGGACCAGTTGCCTAGAAAACGGGTCACGGGCCGCGCGCGATATATCCTTCCTCTTCCTTGTCCTATTCTCACCCTTTACTTACACACACTTTAACATTCGAACCCACAGCCTTTGTGACCGCGTATTTAGGCGCACCCGTCCCAAACCACTGCGCCAGACTGACGGTTCGTAAATATCATATTCAATTTTTAGAAAATCGTTCATATAATTCGAATTCGCTTTCAATTGATTATAATTCAAATTCGCTTATAATTCAAACGAAATCGAATCATTGAAACGTTTCAAGTAGTAAAAGGGGAAAAAATATATCGATAATCATTCCTAATAATGATTAGCCGTAGTCTGTTAATTTACATCTCTAAACGTTAGAAAATAATTACGAAGAACGTACACGTTTACGGGTGCGTAGTGTGGGAATTATAAGATTTCAGTGATATATCTATTTTGATGCCTACAACAGGCATTCAGTAATCATGAACTAGGACATTACCTGGTAAAATGGGAAGTAACGCGTAAGTGGTATAAAATTGAAATATGTAGCCAGACAATTCTCTTTTCCTTAAGTTTGAATCAAAGAACTTACTATTGTCAATTGAGAGGAATATATAATGTTTCTCCACAGCAGCAGAATGACGTGTTTGCTCGTCATTCTGATGTTGTTTGTAGCTGTGAGTAGACACATTCATCTATGTTGGATTGACAGGACTATTTCTTTTGTTTTCCTTTCCGTTATTGTTTTTCCGCTGCTGCAAATTGTATGTTTCGTTCGTGTCGTCACAAGGTTAATGCACTTCAAA